GAGCTCATTTTAGATTGGTCCCTGTGTCATCTCAATATAACCTCATTAAATTTTTTTTTTATTTTTATTTATTTTTATTTTTTTTTTAAGATTTTATTTATTTATTTGACAGAGAGAGACAGCCAGAGAGAGAACACAAGCAGGGGGAGTGGGAGAGAGAGAAGCAGGCTTCCCGCGGAGCAGGGAGCCCGATGCGGGGCTCGATCCCAGGACCCTGGGATCATGACCTGAGCCGAAGGCAGACACTTAACGACTGAGCCACCCAGGCGCCCCTAACCTCATTAAATTTTTATTTTTTTATTTTTCATTAAATTTTTTTAAAAGATTTTATTTATTTGAGAGAGAGAGAATGAGAGATAGAGAGCACGAGAGGGAAGAGGGTCAGAGGGAGAAGCAGACTCCCCGCCGAGCAGGGAGCCCGATGCGGGACTCGATCCCGGGACTCCAGGATCATGACCTGAGCCGAAGGCAGTCGCTGAACCAACTGAGCCACCCAGGCGCCCCTCATTAAATTTTTTTAAAAAGATTTTATTTGACAGAGAGAGACACAGTGAGAGAGGGAACACAAGCTGGGGGAGTGGGAGAGGGAGAAGCAGGCTTCCTACGAGCAGGAAGACCGATGCGGGGCTCGATCCCAGGACCCTGGAATCGTGACCTGAGCCGAAGGCAGACGCGTAATGACAGCCACCCAGGTGCCCCAACCTCATTAAATTTGAAAGCCTTTTGGCACAACAAAATTGGCAGTCTCACCTTATATTTTTTCTGAATTAGCTATTTCTCCATGGAACACTGGTGCCATATAGCTGGGGGGGGGAATATATGCATATTGGGGTTCACATTATTTCTGGACAATTGCTCTTGGACAGAAATAAAAAAAAGATAGGTATTTCATTGTAAAGAAATGAGTTAATATTGGATACTGCCAATCCAGTTTTACTTAAATTCTTTTTTTTTTAAGATTTTATTTATTTATTTGAGATAGAGAGAATGAGAGACAGAGAGCACGAGAGGGAAGAGGGTCAGAAGGAGAAGCAGACTCCGTGCTGAGCAGGGAGCCTGATGCAGGACTCGATCCCGGGACTCCAGGATCATGACCTGAGCTGAAGGCAGTCGCTTAACCAACTGAGCCACCCAGGCACCCTTAAATTCTTAATTCTACAACTATACTCCTTTATCCTCTATGGGTAAATCTTCATTAAAAAAAAATTGTTTAAAATAAACTCTACCCCCAACATGGGGCTCAGCCTCAGGACCCTGAGATCAAGAGTCACATGCTCTACTGACTGAGCGAGCTAGGCGCCCCCTTCATTTCAAACTAAATAAATATAATGGTTTATTTTTTTTTTCTGACATTTCAAGTAAATAGTTCTCAAAGTAACAACACAGTTACCACACAAATGATACAATTACTGAATAAAGTTTAAAATCTTTTAGTCTTTTTTTCCCCCATCACTGTCTTTAATGCTGCCTCCCCTTTTTAAAAATTTTATTTCCAGGGGCGCCTGGGTGGCTCAGTTGGTTAAGCAACTGCCTTCGGCTCAGGTCATGATCCTGGAGTCCCGGGATTGAGTCCCACATCGGGCTCCCTGCTCGGCAGGGAGTCTGCTTCTCTCTCTAACCCTCTTCCCTCTCGTGCTCTCTATCTCTCATTCTCTCTCTCTCAAATAAATAAATAAAGTCTTTAAAAAAAAATTTTTATTTCCAGGGGCGACTGGGTGGCTCAGTTGGTTGAGCATCCGACTCCTGATTTGGGCTCAGGTCATGATCTCAGGGTTGTGGGACTGAGCCCTGCTGAGGGCAGAATCTCCTTGTCTCTCTCCCTCGGCTGTCCCTGCTACCCCGGCTCTCTCTCTCTTAAATAAATAAAATCTTTCAAAAAATTTAACTATTTTTTTTTTT